TCTACCATGCTATAATACAAAATTAAAATAAAAAGTTAACTTCTAAAAAAAGAGTTGTATTTAGCGTTTTGTAAAAGACACCAAAAAGTTTACGCAAAAAAATCTTACCTTTAAAATATTTATAAAAAAAATTCACACAATTTACGCGTGCTCACTTGTTGCCGAAGTATCAAACTGGATGCCCTCTAGAAATAAAACGCTAGTATCTCTATCTCGTGTCTCTATTTCGAAGCAGTCGGCATAGAAGACGACGTTAGGAAAAAGACAAGATTTTTGAATGTCAACTTTAATATTTTTTTCTGTTTAAACTACTTTGTAGAAAACTATTTAAGTTTTATATACGAATAAAAGAACTTTCCATTGTTAATAATTTATTTTTTCAGAAGAAAGCTACAAAGAAGAAGAATATAATAATTTAAATTAAAAAATCGCTTCTGGGGGCAGTTTGGTTACAGGACATTTCACATAGTTTTTCTGCCATATATAGAAACACAAAGTAATTAAAAAACAAAATACGATGGGTCCTAGCAGGAAGGTGGTATATACATATAATAAATACAAAACTTATCAACAAAGGTCAAAAATAAAAATAAAATTAGCTGGGGACAGCAAATGTACATTTAACGAAAATTTGCCCTAATACCAAAAGATTCAAGTTTAGACAACAGGAATTTATGTTGCACACAATCAAATCCTCAGTCAACGAATAAAGCCATATCTTTTTCATTAATATCCAAAGCTGTCGTTAATTTGTTTTGAGTAAATCCGTGTTGCTGATCAATCAAAATATTGAAAAATTAAGAAAATATATAATTATTTTATCCATTACTTTTTCAACAATTTTTGAATTGATAACAATGCGATTGGTATTAGTATTTATTGTTCGATCACCTTTTTATATAATGTAACAATTTTATCAATCTTTAGTACATCTGGAAAGATTTCTTTAACTAAACAGTCATGACATAAAATAGGAACAATGTAGTTTACGCTACATTTAATAACTTTAGATGGAAATAAATCATCAACACATGGGTTTTTTATGCTCATTATAATATTGAATAGTTCCGTTTTGGTTAGGTACAGGTAATAAAAAATAGTTTATTCTAGGTATATTATTAAAATTATTATTTTTTAAGTTACTGATTTGTTTCTAGGCCATATAAAAGTATCTATTGAAGAGGTTATTTTGGGTTTATTATTTACATTTTGGTTTGCAAGATTCCATACTATAGTAAGTATAGTACTTTTGGTTTATTATTTGCATTTAAAAATAAAATTGTTATAGTGTACCTAGTTGTTTAGATTTTTTAAAGAGTTTCCTATACATAGATACGTTTATACTTGTTATAATATTCCAGGCTAACAGTTCCACTGCTTTTCAATTAAAAAAAAACAATTTTAGTTATTAACTAGACCCTTGGTCATTAATTACAAAACATTTTGATATTAATTCAAATGATAATTCAAAGTAATAACCAACAATATTTAAAAATAAATTAAATTTCTCATCGGCATCGTGTATATTAATAACATGAGACCAAAACATTTGTTTTTCTGAGCAGATAACTTTGGACACGGTGTATATAATATATACTTTATAGGAGTATTATTTAAGTGTATAAAATAATGTATTAGGTATATCGGTATTTAAAACAAATACCTAAATCAATATTTTATATCTATTTTAAAATTGAGGCTTAACTCTCTTGGGTTGTACGGCGACGTATATATATATATATTTTATATATTTATATATTTTGTATACAAAATATATAAAATATTGTTTTTTAAATTTTATTAAGAAGTGTTTTTGTTTAAACCAAAGAATATATTTTTATTTTATTAAAAAACATACATATACCTGTATATTTCATTTAATGTTTATACAAAAAATAAAATAAATAATTATAAATATGGGTATTTTTATAGCATAAAAAGCAATAATTAAAAAAAAAATTAAACTTCTCATACTCTTAACTCGTGTTTTTACGAGTAACCTCTTTTTACAAAAGTACTTACGAGTAAATTTTAGGATTAATTGATTATTGGTTGATATTGGTATTGATTATTGGTATTGATTAATTGATATTTATATAAGATCTATATAGATACTGGTTGACAATTAATAATTTTAAAATAAATAAGGAATATACAAGGTGGGTAGCCGATACTTGGCAGGAGGAATACCCATTAAGGGAAAGGACACCCACGGGTATCAGGGCCGTCAACGCTTCGATACGGAAGACAAGACTGAGTATCACACAGGGGGGCAAACAAATCTAAAGAGGTTACCAGGAACCTGATACTGACTCGGACAGTGACGTACAGAAATACACCAAAAGGACAGGTTCTAGCAGCGTACTAACACTTCTACCCCCATTCAAGAATACCAAATGAATGGGGATATTACTAAAGCCCTGGTTAAGGGGGATTCCGGATTGTACTTAGTTTTGGGTCAGTTCAATGTCCCCCAAAAACCCTTCCTAAACTGGACGTATGGCCCGACCCGGCTGACAAAAATTCCGGGAGCGGCCTTAACCTTTGACATTGTCTTCCACAACCTCCTAGGGCGGATCAACCAGCCGGCGTAAAAACCTCGGATCCAACAAACACAGGTAATGCTGTGATTTGGCGGGATACGCAGGAGAACGAAAAGGGGGTAAAATATCCCCGGGAGATCGTGGAGGATAATATATCTGGGGCCTGCCATACGTTCCCATACTCATACTCATATTGTACTTCCAATTTTAGGAATACATATTTTTGTAGTACTTGTGCCCAGCTCTGGCTTGAACCCACCCCCCAAAATGTGAAAAACCGTTGTTTTAAGATTTTTTTAGAAATCCCAACTTTTTTAGTCTTATATTTTACCAAACCACCTTCCTATTTTTTTCTGCATACGTGCCTGGCATCTTTAATTGTAAATTAATAGATTACACAGCATTATCTTTAATTGTAAATTAATAGATTGAGAAACTTTTTAACAGTCTAAAAACATCATTACCTGCTTACCATAATATTTTATTTAGATAATTATGTGATTGCGGGTAAAGAGAAATAAAAATGCCGGTTAAATTTGTTGGTCGGTTTGTTATTGACATTAGATAATAATATTACATTATATTTACATGTATACAATAGCTATACAGCTTTTCGTGCCATTTTGGCACTCATATATATTTATACAGGGTGAATGAAAATTAAACGGCCCATCCATAAACGTGCTTGTATAATTATTTAAAAAAGGTCATTTGAGTTTGAGCCACCCTGCATGTGGTGAGAGTATGGCCCTCCTTTACCTAGGTGCAGCGTTTTCCAACTCAAAACCACTCAACTAATGAAATATTAGGAGAAATATTAAGTTTTTTTAAATTTGGCATTTAATGCCAAGTAAAGTTAAAATTTAATTAAAGTTGGTTTGAGTGGTTTTAGTTTGGAAAACAACGAAGCGCAACACTAAAAAACCAACGTGGTCAGTTTGATACAAAACTAACGATTCGAATCCCGCTTTGTATTTCATATTATACATATTAAGTAAATTGAGTTTGAGTTGAGGCACAGAAACGTTACAGGCGTTACAAACTGACCCCAAAGGTTTTTATTTGCTTACTTTACGTGGACGCAATCTCTTCCTTAAATGAATTTCCTACTACTAATTTAGGTAAATATGTTACATTATAACGTTATCTGCGTTAGAAATAATAGCATACTTACTTATCTGACATCAATTTACATAGTTGTGGGAACGAAATATTAAAAAAAGAGGGCATAACAAAGAGAGTTCGTATTAAGGAATCGATTGCGCATAATGGGCAGCATTGAGTAGAAAAGTTTTTATCGCGTTTATTTTCTTATCACAGTTACAGACATCGTCGTTCACAATTCTTTCGATCAATCAACTAAACCTCCTCGTTCTCCTCCTCGTTTCTTCTAAATTTACGACTAAAAACTTTTCTTCGGCTTGCCGGCCGGCTAGTTTTTCCGGAAAACCAGCAGACAAACTTGGGAAGTTTGGAACGTACAGTAAACATTAATTTATTAAACATCCTGCACGGTAAACGTACGTAGGTATTAGTACAGCAGCTATAAAATATACTTTATAGGCTTCTTTTTACACATGCGTCCCGCGTGATTAGTAGTGACTTGAGATGCACAGCTCTCGTCGCGTCGCGTCTCTGGCGTGTATAATAATAAAAAATAGAAGAGTATTTTATTTTAATAAGGCGAAAATAATATGAATCAAAGTACGTACGTAAATAAATAAATATATGTATATCTACTAATAATAAAGTCAGAGGCGGAATGAAGAGCGACGACGAGATGCTAGAATTTAAAGTGATAGCAATCACGGGGACTATTTAGAGACACATACGTCCTTTTTGCATTATTTACAGGCACACTCACACATACATATACATTTCTCTTCGTAGTCGCATTCAACTTTTTCGTTTCGCCCGCGTCGGCCACTAGACTACCTGCCAATTTCTCGGAAAGGTTGTTCTAAAGATTATTATTATTATTGTCCGTCCGTTTTCCTTTTTCCAATTTTTGCAACTGACAATCTGTACCTATAGGTAAATGTGTTGATCTAATGATCGAGACAGGGCGGAAACGAAAAAGTTGGATGCGGCTGGGAGAGTTCAGAGCACAAGACTAGATAATACTGGGAGCCGCGGTGCCCTTTTCAAAAACACCAGTATTTACAAAAATGAAATAACAACGAAATAGTTCAGCAGTCTGTCTGTATGTCTCTGTTCCGACGATCACTGATGATGGCATACGAACGGCATAAAGCACGGGGGGACAGTTTCTTCGACAGTTGCATGAGGTTATGGAGGATAAGAAGGATAGAGGCGATTGGAGGAATAGAATTACACTTATTTACAAAAAATAAATTAATGTTGTGTGTCGGCAGCACTCGACGTAGACGTAGAAGAGGATAATAGGTACAAATGTTGGGCAGTCGTGACGTGAGTCTTGATATTAAAAAAAATATATTAAAAGTCTGAATTGGAAGAGAGCAGCCTCTTTTCGGGCGTGGTGGTGGTGATGGTGAGGGGATGAGGGTGGGGACGGTGGCTGCACCGGCAGCCGGAGCGCGAATGCCTCGCGTAACAGTGCTCGACAAGTCTTTTGGCGCCGCGCAGAGGCCAATACAAGAGCAGGCAGGGTAGAACGCACGAGAGGGTGGTAAGACAGGTCCAGCGGGCCATCCGCTTGTCGCCGTGACAGCCGCACGGCTCGTCCGCGCAACTCTCCAAGCCTCCCTCCGACGACTCCGAACAATGGTAAAACAATCCTTTGACACAGCACAGGCACGAAGCGTAATCGATGACAGTGTCCGCAGATAAGAGACAGCCTGCGTCTCCGCACACCCAACGTTGCGGCAGCGGTCGCGGACGCTGGCAGCTGTCGCACCGGCACCGCCCGCACTCCGAACACACGATAGATGCACGACGTTGCACCTGGCACTCGTTGCTGCCCAATTGCTCCAACTGTCCTCCAACGGACCCTCCTCCGCCTCCGCCAAGGGGATCCTTGACGAACGAAGACACCGGCGGCAACACCGGGTGGTGAAGGCCGTCGGATCTGCTGACCAACGTTGGTTGCTTCGTAATCGTCGTCCGATGGGAAGGCGGCTGTGCGGGCGGCGGCAGATGATGGTGCGTCGGATGGATGGGCAGCCGGCCGCCGAGCCGATGATTCCTGGGCGGGTGCGGCGGCGCCGGTGGCAGACACATCTCCGCTGAACGGAACGGAGTCTCCACGTACTCGTTCGTTGTCCGCTCATTTTCCGGCCTGGGTTGAACTAAAGAGACCGCCGCGGCGGCTTGCTGCTGCTGCTGCGTCGTCGAGGTCGACAATGTCGACGATGAGATGTTGATGGGTGGGCGCAACGGGGCCAATGGCGCTGTCAATGGCACCGGGATGCTCATAATGGGGGCCCGCGGACGATGCGCGCGCGCCAAACCTGATGCGCCTCCATGCTGAGCCATATGTGGGCCGCCGAAGAGGGACCTCTAACGCCCCCCGAACCAGGCACCACCTTGCTCCGTCATCGTCGCCACCTGAAAATTACAAAAAACAATGTAAATCAACATTTCATTTCTATAAATTTAAATTTAACAAATCCAGATGCGCGTGTTTACAATTCACAATATCCCTCCCTCAGACAGGCCATAAAGAATACCGGGACCATTAAAAAAATAGAACAGGAAATAGCGCAGACGGGATAGAAACAAGAGACAAGATACTAAAGGGTTAAGTAGAAAAAGAAAACGAGAAAGAGTTGATACATAAAATCGGGGCCATACCAGTAGGTAATAAAGGTACCTAAAAGACACCAGGTGCAACAGTTGCCTCACCTACACAGGCTCCCAATCGCGTGGGTACCTCGTTCTATCTGCCCACCACTAAGACAATACCACAGGTATATCCAACACACACACACAAACTTCTTGCTACATGGATATCACATCAGAACACATTTTTCGTGCAAAGCCCTTATCTTAACTTATTTGCAACATTCTATCTAATCCCTTTTGCAAAACTCATCATTAAAGATAAAATTACGAATAATCGGGACGAATTATAAAAATAACAATGCAAGGTTGAGTATAATTGGCCTTAATCAGATATAGGTACAGATAGATAATAAATATATAGTATATATTTTAAGTTGTTTTTCATGTTTTCGAATTAATAGAACTGAAGGGGGCAGATGATTTGTTTGGATATTTATTTATCGTAGCAGTCGTGAAAACCGCCGTTCTGTGTAAAATATGTGTGAGTGTGTGTGTGTGTAATCATGCATATTTATGAGGCACAGGCAAGCAGGCTGGCATGGCATAGCAGGCAGTATGCGGCGGTAAAACTGGACAACACAGTGTGTGTGGGGCGGCCAGGCCACTGTTATATACGCCTATGTATTTACATCTACACCTTTTTACTATTATGTATCTATAAGTATCTCCATCTTTTTAGCCCACCACATTTACCCTACAGATTGGTTCACTTTCAGCTGTTTATTAATGAAATTACCTATTATAATTTAAACGAAGGCATGTTTTGTTGAATACAAAATCGGGACGTATGTGTATGTGCGTAGAGCAGCACCGGTCGTATATACATATGTATATTTAAGTGCGGCCGAAAAAGAGAAAATAAACGACGTCGTCGTCGTCAATGCGATGTGTATGTATTTTTAGAGCGCGGCGGCGGCATTAAAATCGATATTATTAATAATATGTAATAATAACAAAATGTATTTTGTGTAATTTTTCGACCGGATGTAATATTATAGATATGGTTATCCAGAGTGGTTCTTATCAATACACAAGCAGGAACAAACAATTATTAAAACAATATGCTACATTCATTCTGTAAATAAATGACGTACTGCCTCCTTATTCATTCATTCATTCGTATTGGAACGTTTGTTCGTTTATTCTAGATACATTTGTACCCATTAAATGGGCAATTAGTTAATTTCGATTACACTCAATCTTATTAGTTATTTCTCTCACACAAGAGCTGTTTACCATCTTCATGAGCTTTGGAATTTGATTCAGCGGGTACATTGTAGCAAAGATAACCAACCCTACCTCTTATTCATTTTTTTTTTATTAATATTGTATCTGTATATCTATCGGCTAATTGGCACGGTTAAAAAACTGATCCCATGCGTCGAGATAAATCGAGCGGACGGGTATTTAACAACCATTTGGTTTGAAAACGGACCGTCATTTCCTGTCAAGTGTTTCCTGTTTGGAAATATGTGACCCATTTGGTGCCATACGCTACGCTTTTTTCTTCCAATTCTTATTTTTAACGAATTTAAAAGCGACCGATATGAAGAAACAACAAACTTTCACAAATATTTTTTTTCGGCCCACGATTTTGGCTATTTCGATTTAGTGATTTAAATAATAATAATAATTGTAATGTAAAGTTTGTTTGACACAGACTAGTTTAGTTGGTTCGTTCGAGAAAGAAATAGCCCCGAAACATCCGGGAATTTGAACGAAAGCACCGTTTCTTTGAAATACGGTCATTTATCAATTCTCATTGCTCGCCGCACTGTCGAAACACCGAATCAAATTTCTTTGACTTTTAAATGATACTTTTATTTGAGTTTCTTTTGATAAGTATTCCGCTATAGTACAATTCGCCTAATTAGCATTTGGTTAATTAAACAATCCGGAAGGCATTTGCATAAGTAAAAATAGGTGTTTGCGCGCGTAACACGGGTGGTTGTTAACAATAATTGTCTGGAGAAAAATCTCGGTAGCTGGTCGGTAGTCTATAAGAGTCGGTCGGTCGTTCATTGATGTTTAATGTTATGTTCCACGCGTCATTGTCGATTATTTTTTGCACCGAGTGTACTAAATTCAAGCAACGTCCTACGTAACGCAGCATGTGAAATCGGAAAGTTAGCCGCGTTCTCGTCTCGTCGCAGAGAGCCGAGCCATAGCTATGAGCTTGCTTGCCTCACTCTGCACTTAATCTACAGTGAATGGATTTGGGTTTATATTAATTTATCGTGGCTGTTGTTTTAATACCCAACAACATGAACACCCACTCCTTTTAATGTAGCCTGCCTATCTTTCCAATAAACAATACATTCAAGTACTATAGTATATATTCTATTTTCAAGTAAGTGAGTACCATTAGCGCAGGTGTATTTTTAGGTGCATATGGTACCTATTCAGCTAGCTAGTAAAATAAGATTGTTGTGTGTCACTCACTTTGAAATATACACAGTGGACGAAGATATCGGACGTAAAGTCCGGGACGACAGATCACAACTACTCCAATCGACACTTATCAACATTTTTCGTGGACCAAAGCACCAAAACAAAACACGGCACGGCACTATAATAACTACTACCTACTAACTGTAACGTGTAGGTAACCCAATATAATTCAAATTGATAGACGACGTTGCGTGTAGGTACCGAACAAAAATTACTCGCACCGAAAATAACTGAACGACGGATTGGAGAAACGAGAAATTAAGGCGGTTAGTTGCAGTTGGTAGTTCCAAAAGGTTGATCGTGTGTGTGTGTATTTTACGAACGTACTAACGGTCAGATCAACGACGTCCGTCCTCTTTCGGTGTTGGACGTGCACTGGGGAACGGCGGGCGGAGGAGAGCCGAAGCGATCGCAGCGCCGGCGACGGACAATTCCAACACTAATCCATGGCTTTTTATGAATGGAAGGCAGCCATTATATGAATGAAACGGCGTACATTCAAGGAAAACAGTCGCAAACACCACGTTGCCGATTTACACCGCGTTTCCCCTCGATCTACTCTCTCGCACACCAACACTTGTTGTAACAATAACTACTTAGACTACATATCCCCAATATATTTCTATTTTTCAACTAAAAACCCGATTTTAACGACCCTGAAGAAAAAACCGCGTTTCTCTACAGTACAACCAAAACTGATTTACGAGGCTCCATAAGCAAGACATGGCAACGTCGGGCGATAATTTGCGAACAGTTCGCCTGCATGTATGGCTCATGTTGTTGGATTTTATCCATTCATCGTTGGTGAAAGTGCACAAACCCCAATTCCAAAAGAATTTCTCGCCCCTTAAACAATATCGACTCAAGAACCAATTTTTTAGCTAAAACTTTGAGATAAAGCTTGATAGAATACTACTACTGCTTTTTTTAAGATATTGTAATTCTTTTTTGGCTAATTGAAGAATTGACTTGTGTGGAAACGGTGTTTCTAAGAAAGCCGTTGAAGGCAGCAACAGCAGGCAAGATTTTGGTGGGCCGAAAGAACGCGTTGCAACTTTTAGTCTGGGTGTTGGGTAGGCATTTTCGCGTTGGTGTGACCTATGTAGTAGATAAAAAGTTTGCAACGACTGTGCAAATCGCTTAAAAATTTACAATTTAAACGAATCTTTTAAGAGACACAACCACAAATTATAACATACGTTAACAGAGGGCTTGTAATTTTTCAAACGCTGACAGCAGCTCAACAAGAAGATGGATGGAATATCGTCGAATTCCTGTTATTAGTATAAAACGGGACGGATGAAGGAATAAAAGTATAAGAAGTACCTAATAATAATAATAATAATGGGCGATTTCCGATTCCTACCTGATTCAGGTAGTCAAGTCACTTTGCACAGAAAGAATCGTAGTCGCCTTATGGAGGAATAAAATAGCGGCTGGCCGAGAGCTAGCGAGCGATTGGTCCGGAAACCGGATATCTTGGATTTGATTTCATTCACAGAGACGTGGCATTAACAACAAAAGTAATCCGGAAGTTGTAAAAGCGCGACCGCTTGAAAAAGCGGATGTTGCAGCCCTTAACATTATTAACCGTTCGAAATATAGGAAACGGCAGATGTTCCGTTTACGCACGTCCGCAATAAATCTTAGTCGTACCTACCAAATTCCTATTGAAATATGTTTTTTGCCTTTTACTGACCAATACCATTGATTTTAAAAACAATGCCGGTACATATTTACAAATTTCCATTAAGTTAATTTTCATATCTTGTAATTTATATAATGATATTCAAGGTCAATATAATTCAAAATTTTAACAAGATAGGGATATCAATTATTACAAATTATAGGTTTAAAAACATGATAGGAGAAATACATATTTTTCAACACCACACAAATTGTTGTGCAAAATTGGTAAAACTAATTCACTAATACGTCCAAAACAATTGTCCGTCCATGTGATGAAAACTACTTTTTATTTTAGCGAGATAATAAACTTTGATTAAGCAAATTTAAAACAGGTTATTTTCGTTCGATTGGCGTAAACAAACAATTTAAAATGAATAAAGAAACAACGAGATGTTTGTTGTTGCCAGATGAATGAATTTCCTACTTTGAGTTTGGAAGTTTTTTAGGCGTCCTGTGTGTGCATCAGTAGACATCGAAGACAGGAAACATGCTTCAATCAATTTAAGGTAGGTTGTCTCTACAACTTTTGCCTTTGATAAATCGAAATAGTT